TATTATAATATCAAAGTTGTTGTGATTGATTCATTCTATTCTCATAAATAACACATGCGGGGAGTATAAAAGGTTCAGAATTATTAGCAAGCAGAGCAATACTACCAAACTTTCCTATCTGGGTATACATACATGTATTCTATTCTACTAAGATCAGTAATATTATTATTGTATTTAATTGCAGTATTTAGAGCCAGAGGGAGAAGAGGCTTTGGAAGAGGGCTTGGAAGAGGGTCAGGAGGAGTGGCTGAGTGAAGGAGTACTCACTGATGATGACTATGTTCAAACTGTAAGTTAAGTATTATATTATTAATATTTGATGGGCCGATGTTTGACCACTATCTCGCCTGGTGGTAAGTGATGATGCGGTCTACGATGGAGCACGTCGTCCCACAAGCAACCTATTCGCTCAGGCCTTGAAGACAACAGAACATCACGCCTACTATCCATTAAGAGGTAAGTAGGCAGAGGTGCACATTACAGCACTTAATGCCTTGTAACACCCACTTTTCACTATTTATGTTATGAGTCCCATGTAATAGGGGGTGAGCCTATTGCCATATACCGGGCACAGTTCCAGACTCGGTGCTATACTACTGTTCAAAATCGCTCATTGTGCTCAAATTAATCTTTTCAAATAATAACTATATTAAAGTTACACTAGTCGATATTTTTACCATAGAAAGTTCGGGGTGGTATTACTCCACAGTGTGAATTTGTATCTCCAAAATTAAACGACAACGTTTTATCTTGTAATTACATTTGTCGGTACGGAAACAAAAAAAATAAAAATAACGATTAAAAAGTCATGAGCCACCAAAGTTTTTGTTTTCATGACAATTTTGCCGCAACTTTGGGTGGTGTTAAAAAGTACCACTAACGTGTAAAATCTCCAAACCGTAGACCTACCGACACAGCACAATTACCAGAGAGTTCTATAAAATTTATTTCAAATTGATCTAAGCAGTGATTTTTTTCAAAATCGCTATTTTCTAAAGCACTAAATCGTACTTTATACGCACTCGTTTTACGATGAATTATCGTGCATTCATTTGATAAAATTCCCCCGCAGCGGCGCGGGGCGGAGGGAAGACGCTCACGCGTTTTTGCACAATTTTTTGCACGACAGCGCGTGTCGTGCAAACCATTAGACTATTTTCTATTGTTTTCAACCGATTTAAAAAATGAGGAGGTTATACGTTCGGCCGGTATGTTGCTTTTTTTTTTTTTTTTTTGTATGTATGTACGCGCATAACTCTGAGATGCGTGAAGCGATTTGCAAAATTTTGTTTTGTTGGAAAGGTATACTCCCAAGATGGTCCCATTTCCATGAGGTCAGGATCTGATGATGGGATCCTAGGGAAACCGAGGGGAACTTTCGAAAATTATATGGGCGAGTGATGCGTCTATTATGTTTTTCAATTAAGATTTTTAAACACTACAATTTGATAAGGGTCTGGAGTCGACCTGATGATGGAGCCGATAGACAGTCGAGGGAACTTCTCAGCGGTTTATACTAACTACCTTGTGTTTGGGCTTGATTAATTTGTATTGATGAGGACTTTACACCTAGATAGAGTGGGGCTGTCATTAAAGGTCTGATGATGAAGAAGTGTAATTGCTAAGGGAACTCCTCAACGGTATACAGTAACTACCTTGTGTTTGGGCTTGATTAATTTGTATTGATGAGGACTTTACACCTAGATAGAGTAGGGCTAGATAAAAACACCCAGACAGAAGAAATGATCATGCTTATTATAAATCAAACTTTACCTCTTTAGGCTCTTTATAATAAATTGTTGTAGATTACCGCAAGTAGGAATATTGATAATATCAACGGGCAATCGCCAAACCGAATGTTTTCGCACAAAATACATAGGTACAGAAGTCAATCTCATGTAGGTATGTACCTGCTTCACTGTTTATACCTACGTGCTCGAGCGCGCTTGTATGTAGTATACCATAGAACTAACTAGGTACCTTTTTTATTTTGTGGCTATCGCGCTCCGTGAGAACTCGATTGGGGTTGTCAACTATACTTTTTATTACGTTTCTTACTTTATTTTTAGCAAGTAAACATACTTTAGGTACAATTACCTACTTTTACGAAAACTAAACAAATACAACAAATATTGTAGGTACCTATTAGGTTTAGTAGGTACATAAAGTTATTGGTACTTAGAAAAAAAAAGTAACTGTTTATCTACAGAATTATATCCCTAGCCTTTCGTAGATTCTTCGGATATTGTGTTACCAACTTATCATAAAAAAATAAAAAATTCAGTAATCACAATGCCCTGTGACAATAATTACTAAAATTCATGCGAGCATCATAAAATCGTAGCAGCGCGTACGACTTTACTACGAGTAAACACACACAGCACAGACATATGCACCGTTCAGTGACGTTTTGCTGTGTTTGTGTGCGTGCGAACAATACGTCGTGCAAATAGATAGCGTCTAACTGCTCATCACTGGTACTATTTCTGTCGCACACGATGTTAGATGAGACAGCGCGCTTTTTGGCCACGCCCTCGATTGAGTTCGAGCCCGCGACTAGTTTAACCTTAACTACTAGCTACTTCCGCGCGGTTTCACACGCTCTGCTCAGCTCCTTTTGGTCGTACCGTGATGTTTTATAGCCTATAGCCATCCTCGATAAATGCGCTATTCAATCAGACTTGTAGTTATGGAGATTAGCGCATTCAAACAAACAAACAAAATAACAAACCCTTCCGCTTTATATATTTTTTTTTATTTTTTTTTAAACGTTGCCCTACACTAGGATTTTCTCCTGTATCGTGGGTGCGTTTACAAACATACAATATCACATATACATGACACCCAGACCCGGAACAACAATCTGTGGATCACACAAAGAGTTGTTCCGTGCGGGAATCGAGCCCGTGACACGTTGCGCGGCAGCCAGTTGCCCAGCCACCGCGCCAACCGTGCAGTCAAATAATAGTATAAAATTACACATTTTACCTACATTTTTCAGACTGAACAAGACCAAGAGAAAGCCGATATTTCCATGGAAAATACCCAAGATACTTTAGAAGAACATGACACCTTAGTGACTTTGGACGGAATGGTGGCAAATGTGGTTACCATGGCAACCTCACAAGAACAGAAAGCCAGCAATTTGACTGGAAATATAGAGGAACAGCTGAACAATTTGGAGACTCGCGGAATGGAGACGATTTGAACGATGAGTTGGATACTTTTTTGATCAGGTATTTATATTTTTTTCAATTAAATTATTGTCATTTATTTATTTACTATCTACTTCCGCCCGGTTTCACACGCTCTGCTCAGCTCCTATTGGTTGTAGCGTGATGTTTTTTTTTGTTTAGCCTATAGCCATCCTCGATAAATGCGCTATTCAATCAGACTTGTAGTTATGGAGATTAGTGCGTTCAAACAAACAAACAAAAAAATAAACTGTTCCGCTTTATATAATAGTATAAGATAAGATTTATTAAAGGTACATAACATAACATGACGCCTTTTACCCCCGAAGGGGTAGGCAGAGGTGCACATTACGGCATTTAATACCACTGTACAATATAACACACCCATTTTTCACTATTTATGTTATGAGTCCCATGTAATAGGGAGTGAGCCTATTGCCATATACCGGGCACATTTCCAGACTCCTTGCTACTACTGAGATAATTTTTAAAAACCCAACAGTACATTGCCCGATCCCTGGCTCGATCTATCGAACCCGAGACCCCTTGCCCGGCAGTCGCACTTGCGACCAATAGGCCAACGAGGTAGTTCAGTAACCGATTCATGTTTGTCCACAGAAAAAATGATGTCGTATTAAAAGAATATAAGGTGAATAAAGAAGAAGCTAATGTGAGCGTGGACAAACAGCAAGAGGATGACGGCAATGACACGGATGACTTACTTGTAAGTTAACATACATTCATTCATACGTACAGTCAGCCAAGTCATTCAGTATGAAGAAAATAAATATTGATTCAGTACAGAGACAGTAGCTATTGTTATACTGAATTGTATGCTTTGTAATGAAGACATATCTTTTGTAGCCATTGGTCGGCTCTAGACAACCAATGGCTACTGTCTCTGTACTTAACTGTCTCTGTTTTGATTAAGGTAAGTACCCAATTGGATCGTTCGTCCGTCTGTCAATTTTAAACAAACAAACTGAATACCAATGTATTTTGAGCAAACGACATGCCGAAAAGTATCGTAGTAACTATAAGGCCATGTTCTTCTTTTTAAACTGTCAAACACCAAGCGGTCACCGCTCACCGGTGACCGCGACTTATTGTTCTTTAATTGTCTCTATAAAACCGGTACTCGACGAGTTAATTGTATTTTATCTGACTCACTGTTGACTTGATTCATGTTTACATAACATCACGCCTTTTATCTCCGAAGGGGTAGGCAGACAGCCACTTTTCACTATTTATGTTATGAGTCCCATGTAATAGGGGCTGGCTATTGCCATATACTGAATTCTTTTGCAGACTCCATGCTACTGCTGAGATTTTTTTTGAAATCCCCTTAGTACATTGCCCTACCCGGGATTCGAACCCGAGATCCCTTGCCCGGCAGTCGCACTTGCGACTACTCGGCCAACGAGGCACTCAAGTTGAGGAAGACATATTTAAGACTATGTAAAGAAGAATGCTTACATAGTCTACTAGCGACCTCTATCGGTGTATAAAAACTTTTAAGTTGACAAGTACTCAAATTCAATACTTTTATTGAAATGTCAAAAACGATACTTTTCTATGAATTTCGTATTGGATCGCAACTTATGACGTCATCATATTTCTGCGTCAAATAGCATAGGTACTTATTTCCTTGAAATTTGCGAGAAAAAATCCAAAAGTTGGTAAATTGTCAAATCAATGGATGAGAGTAGGATTGTTTTTTAATTATTTATTGCATTGAAAAGTTGAAACAATTTATTTTAAACCTAGGAAACTAGACGATTAAACTCCTAATTTAATTTGCAGCGTATGTTAGGAGAAGATGACCAGAAAATTAAGAAGAAAACTCTCAAAGTCGTGAAGGCTCAGAAGGTTGATGACCAGGGATCCAGCGATGACGATGACTTCGTTTATGAGGTACTTGAACCACACATAACCTTTGAAGTGGATCTTCTAGTCACCGATAAGAGATCTGTCTATTTCTTGCGGTACTCTTCTTATATAGGTCGGTCATCTACTATACGGATCACCTGATGGTAAGCAATCGGCGTCCATGGACATCCGTAACACTAGAGGCGTTACATGTGCGTTACCGGCCTATTGGGGGTTAGGGGATTTGAGTATCAAGTCTCCAATGCCCGCATTCTCTTCAATCCCTGAATCCCTAACAATCCTCAAACTCCTAATCCCCAAAATGTCAGCAACGCATTTGTAACGCCTCTGGTATTTCGGGGGTTCATAGCATTTTTATGGGATAAGCCGTTATCCCATAAAAGGCAGTCGCGAAGAATCTAACGGGTAACCGGGGCTCCGGCTCGACGTGCAGGAGAAGGAACGGGGTGGTTTTTAGTCAGTAAGAGTCTGACACTCCCTCCCGCCTCACCCAAGCGGGAACAGTCATTCGATGATTTTCCCCCCTTAAAAAAAATTGGTTGCCTGTAAAGTCGGTATACGGGCGAAAGTTTTACGTGACAACGACTTTGAGTGGTAAAATAATTTTAATGTGAATATTCATTCGTATAGTAGGAAGAAGGATGAAATAATAGTAACAATTTAAAACATTTATTTATACAAAGAATTATATTTAAAACATTAATTTATACAAAGAAGCAAGACATGAACCGCTGTGTATGCCTATCTCTCTCGCTCTGTCTCTCTCGCTCTTAGGCGGGCTAACTGTGCTCGAGTGGAAGGGACGCGTGCCTTTCACTTTTTATGTCTGTCTCTCTCGCTCTTAGGCGGGCTAACCATGCCCGAGTGGAAGGGACGCGTGCCTCTCACTCGCTCTCATTGTGAGCGGAGCGTAACGCAGTTTCTTGAAGTGTCACCCGGCAAACCAATTTATAAGACATTGTCACGTCAAAAAAATGCCATAAAAAGCACCAACTCTGATTTATGCATAGTTTTTTTTATTCCGCACATCAAGGTAAAGAGTTTGGTCTCCATACCTCTACACTTCCTATCAACGAACAAAAAATATGTTAATATTTCACTTACAGCGTAGCCAAGTGAAGACGCTGAAGCTAGCAAAGAACGCCTTAATAAAGCGAGCAGCTACTAAGGCCGTGCCCGAGGATATGAGCGATGGAGACGATGAGACTGACCAGGTAAGCATTGATCTACCACTTTGTCTTTGACGGCATAGGGACAAATTAACCGACTTCAAAAACGGAGGTCCTAATAATCCTTACTATATATATATATATTATATATATATATTTACATCCCGCAATCGTTTGGACGTCCCATGAAGGCGAAAGTGCATTTAATCTGGCGTCCACCAGCTTTTGACGTCCGCATACCGGACGCCACTTTATTGGCCTATGCAACTTAGGTCCTTTTGGTCCTGGCTACACGTAGGTTAAAAATCGACAGAGGCCAAAAGATCGGTTCAATGGCTGTTATAGTATTTTGAAAAGTTCTCGAAGAAATCTCAGCGCAGATAGGGCGCTGCTGTAGCGCGTATATCCACAGCTGTATATTTTTGGGATTTTCTGAGTATAAGTCCGCGTATTTGGCGTCCTCAAAAAAATAACAGCGACGTTGCCAGTTCGCTCATTAAATCTGTCTCAATAGATCAGAATATTATCTACCGCATTCAAAACAATATTCACCGTCGTAGATTTCGGATGTGTTGCGTATTATTTGGAGTCCGATTTTATTCAATTAGATTTATTTACATTTTAATACATGTCAGTGCAACTTACGACAACTTATCTGCAATCCTGTTCTCAATTTGTCAATGAGTACCTATCACTGATATATAACAGATGAGGGTATAAATTAACTATTTAATGGGATCTTAGAAATAATTACTAAAGTGACAAAATTATATGTCTTACCACAAAAAAAGGTTAACCAGAGTTTAACTCGTATAGTATAGTTTCCGTATAAATTTTGACGTAATTTTATTAACTTTATCTATTTTTGTGGTTAGAAGGTGCATATAACACTGAATAATTAATTAATTTAATTGTACTATAGTATTACTGATATAACCTCGTCCTTTTTTGAAGTTGGTTAAAAATCAATCAACATTTGTATTTTTATTATTTTCCTCGGCGTGTTATAAAGATTCAATTAGGAATTATAAATGTTTTTGATTATAAAACATAAACACTTGAATAAAAGTAATATCCATATTAAACATAACATAACATCACGCCTTTTATCCCCGAAGGGGTAAGCAGAGGTGCACATTAAGGCACTTAATGCCACTGTACAATGTAATATACACTTTTCACTATTTATGAGATAACTAGCTTCTGCCCGCGACTTCGTACGCGCAATCCCGTTCTTTCCCGTTCCCGTTCGTGATTTTCGGTGAAAAGTAAAAAAAAAATCTATGAAAAGGTATCCTATGTCCGTCTCCTGGTTCTAATCTACCTCCCCACCAATTTTCATCCAAATCGATGTAGACGTTCTTGAGTTACAAGTAGTGTAACTAACACAACTTTCTTTTATATATATAGATTAGAACATTATAGTAATAAGATTTATTCTTATTATCTTATTTACTTATTACGGACGCACAATAGCTATACGTGGACGTTCAATAGCTATATACGGACGCTCAATAGCTATATACGGACGTTCAATAGCTATATACGGACGCCCAATAGCTATATACGGACGTTCAACAGCAATATACTGACGTTCAACAGCTAGGTGATCTTACATGATACCTTTTTCTTGAGGGAGAAATACCAAAATTAAGTAAAAACGCGGGTTACTCACGTGAATATACTGAGAAAAGCTCTACTAGTTTCGAACCACAGAGGGGTTCTTCCTCATGAGCAGCGTGCGCGGTCGTGGCGACGTCGCGCAGCTCACTTAACCAAATAAGAGAAATATCATCCAATGTCTTCTCCCGCCGGCCGCCGGCGGCTGCGTGGGAGAGGCGAGAGGGAGTTTCAGACTCTTGTTGATTAAAAACCACCCCGTTCCTACTCCTGCACTTCGAGCCCCGGTCACCCATTAAGTCCTCCGCGGCTCCGTATCGGCATAAGGGCCTGGCCACAGCTTCTAGCGGTGCGGCGCGCGGTGCGACGGGAGGCGCGGCGGGCGACGCGATTTGCGTTGGTATGCCACAGCTCGACTAGTTGCGACCGCGGTGGATGTACTCAGTATTATTTATAATGGCCCTATCAAAAGTGGCACGATATTGTCTTGAGACTAATGCGTTTTTAGCTCAAGATATCATTAACTCTAAAATTGGAACGCACTCAGTTAATGAAAAAAGGAAAAACCTTGGCGAATTTCACACGCTTTATCACGAATATAGGAACTATCCAAACTATCTAATCTAACTATCAATATCTCACTAATAAGTTTTTCGGTATCCATTTGATGCGGAGCGAAATTTTCAAAACGATTTGTTCTCGCGAACACAAATTCGTCCCCTCGCTGCCGCTGCATACGCCGCTCTGGCTGTGGCCGCCTCGATACTCCCCAGTGCATTTGTTTCACTCGCACACCGCGCCGCCCGTCGCCGCCGCATGTCGCGCGACGCTTTTCGCGCCGCAGGTCGCTCCGCAATTCGCGTCGCCGTTAGCTGTGGCATACTTCATACGTTGTCTACCATTTGTTTTCTCCGCTCACCGCTTGTCGCGCCGCATTTCGCGCCGCAATTCGCGCCGCGCTTGGCTGTGGCCAGGGGGTAAGCCCTATCTGTGGTGGTCTGATGGCTCCTTGGGGCGTATGCGGAACGCGACGCGCCGTACCATGCTCGCCGACCGCAGGCCCGTGCTTACGGTGGCCGGAGACGTTTCGTGATCCTCGACGCCTGGAGTGTCACTCATGGCGGCTGGAGCGTGAGAAGGCTCTTTCCCTCACGAGCTCCGCCTCCTCCTTAGCTAGCAGGACTGTTTCGCAGAAGGAGGAGACGGCATCCCAGTCTCCCTCGCTCCGTATCATGGTCTGAACCAGTGTCGGACGCGAGAGGTCGTCGTCGCCGATTACATTCCTCAGGACACGGCGGTGTTCAGCCCATGCAGGGCACACTGCCACGGCATGCTCCACTGTGTACTCTGGGCGGCCCTCGCAATGATGACACCTGAGCGTTTCCTCCCACCCAATCCGAAACAGGAACCTACCGAAACTTTCGTATCCAGTAAGCACCTGCGTCAGGCGGTAGGTAAGGACGCCGTAGCGTCTTTGTCTTCGAGGCCTACCTGACCGGTAGATCTGTCATATACTCCGGTCACCGGAGCGAATGGAACCGGCGAAAGATGTCGCGCGGTGTTCCGCAGGGATCGGTTCTGGGGCCGCTCCTGTGGAACATTGGGTATGACTGGGTGCTGCGCTCCGACCTCCCGAACGGCGTTAGCATGACATGCTACGCCGACGACACGCTGGTGCTAGCGCACGGGAGGTCGCACCAGGCGGCGGCCGATTTAATGGCGACAGCGGTTGCGACAGTCGTTGAGAGAATCCGGCAATTGGGATTCGAGGTGGCGCCCCACAAGTCCGAGGCCATGTGTTTTCATGGCCGCGGGAACGCGCCACCTCCAGGTGGGTCCCAAATAACGGCGGAGGGGTTACCATCGGCGTCGAGACGGCGATGAAGTACCTAGGACTCGTCCTCGACAGCCTGTAGAACTTCGTGGAGCACTTCGGACGTTTGGCTCCAAAGTTGGAGAGGACGGGGGCTGCGTTCAAGCGCATCCTCCCCAACCTCGGCGGGCCAAACGCCTCCTGCCGGAGGTTATACACCGGGGTCGTGCGGTCCATGGCCCTTTACGGCGCCCCTGTGTGGGCGCTGAACTTGATGCGGCGGCCCGCTCGGGCGCTGCTCATGGCGATCCGAATGATCCGCGGATACCGCACGATCTTCGGGGAGTCGGTGAACCTCCTTGCCGGATTACCGCCGTGGGATCTGGAGGCGAAGGTACTCGCGCGCATGTATCACATGCGCGCGGAGGCAGTCCCCTCTTTGAGGAGTGGCTTGAGAGACGCTACGGCGTCCTCACCTACCGCCTGACGCAGGTCCTCACCGGACATTGAAGTTTCGGGAGGTACCTGTGTCTGATGGGGCGGGAGGAAACGCCCGGGTGTCATCACTGCGAGGACCGCCCTGAGGACACTGTGGAACACACTGTAGCGGAATGCCCTGCGTGGGCTAAGCACCGCCGTGCCCTCAGGGAAGTGATCGGCGATGGCGACCTCCCGCGTCCGGGCATAGTGCAGGCCATGATGCGGAGCGAGGGGAACTGGGATGCCGTCTCCTCCTTTTGCGAAGCAGTCATGCTAGCTGAGGAGGCGGGACGCATGAGGCAGCGAAGCGCTGCCTCCTCGCAACCCACCCATCGCGGAGGACACACTGGGCGTCGGGGATCGCGGGACGATCTCCGGCCACCGTAAGCGTGGGCCTGCGGATGGCGAGCATGGGTGGCTCCCCGTCCGACCAGAAACAGACCCGAGGGTACGGCGCGTCGCGTTCCGCGCGCGCCTCAAAGAGCCATCAGACCACCACAGATGTGGCCCAAAAGGGCTGATGCAGATTCGGAGTCGCGGAGAACCTATGGGGTAACCTGGGCTCCGGCTCGAGAAGGCACGGTGTGGTTTTTAGTCAGTAAGAGTCTGACACTCCCTCCCGCCTCACCTAGGCGGGAGCAATCATTCGATGGTTTTCCCCCCTTAAAAAAGAAAAAAAAGCGTCTCTGTCTCTCAAGCCACTCCTCAAATCTTACATGATACCTGCTGAGGAAGTACGTGGATGTTCAATAGCTATATACGGACGCCCAATAGCTATATAAGGACGTTCAATAGCTATATACGGACGCCCAATAGCAATATACGTACTTTCGATAGCTGGTTGATCTTACATGATACCTGCTGAGGAAGAAACATTCTTCGCGCGCATATCCTTCGTCAGCCTCCGCTAGAGACTCCTGCCATTACCATGTCAATTATCAGGATCCACAAATTTTTTCATCTTATGTTACTCTATCTGATGTACCTACCTGCCAATTAAATTCAATTAATTCATCTTGCTCATTCCATCAATATTGATAGGTAGTATAATAATTATAAAGTGGGTACCTACTAGTAGATAACATTATTTTATCATTATCGGGCATTAGTAAATATTATTGATAGATTTAAC